CATGCTATTCTCTTTGAACTAGAATTAGATTTTAAATGCAATTAATGACATAAATTGATTAGATTAAATTAAATTGGCTTTAAATGCTGTTGTATAACACTACAATATCATTATGGAGATCACAAACTAAAAACTACGGTGGCCCTGAAGTGCAAACCACAACAACAAATCACTAAACACAACAAAATTTAAAAAAAACGGAACAAAATTTCAAAAAATGCAACATTTCAAAAAACACGACATTTCAGAAAACACAACGACATTTCAGAAAACACAACGACATTTCAGAAAACACGACAATTCAGAAAACACGACATTTTAGAAAACACATTACATTACAGAAAACACATTAAATTTTAGAAAACACATTACATTACAGCACCTGGAAGAGTTAGGTACCAGTGAGACATCGCTGATTGGACGACGATCTTGTTTGACCCTTGAACTGGAAGTTTTTCCACCTGTAGCSCATTTTTGAAAATATAGATGTTATCGTTGATCCAAACATRGCGRCTGCTATCCAAGAATATTTTGAGTCAGGACATACATACGAGGTGATACTGGAAATGCTCAGGAATATTCACGAAGTTTCGGTTAGTATGCGTACATTAAAGACRCATTTAAAAGAAGCTGGACTGTGCAGAAGACTTAACTACTCTCCACTTCATGAGGTGAGGACTGCGGTGGATCCTTCCCCTGATTCAGAAACCTAWGTCTCCCCCGCTTTCCTGGTGCCCATTTATTACAGCGCTTAAGGTAAMACGCTGTCTCTTCAGTCCTGCTGGTAAAGAGAACCGAATACACTGCAGCAGCTGCTTATTGTTTAACACTACTCATATAAACCAAGACTCTCACCATATTTCAGGGAATTTTTATGAGTGGATCAAAACAAATTACACTTGGGATGCAAAGAAACATTCAGCAGCAGCTCCTTATATGCAAACTAAAGTGTATATCTACATTTTCACAATGCTTTGCCACTTTTGTTCAACACTACTACTATAAACCAAGACTCTGCCAAGAATCGTACCTACATGTTTTATCAATATCATTAAGAGTTTCATATTCTATATCTAGACACGCTGTATAAATTTATTTTCATTTGCCATTATTCAAGAGTGGTCAGTAAAACAAAATGGCAGAGTGGAGAGTTATTAAAACAAAACCTGCAATATATCATATTCCTCTTACATACACACTGCATGTTTCTTGCACAAGAAAAAAAGTCAAATAACCTTTTGATTTTTTATTTGAGACCATCTCAGAAACAATATAGATCTTCAATGTTCATCTACACCTGTTCTGATAGTTTTTAAGCAGGTTGAGCTCAGCTGTACTCAACTCATCCCACAGCTTTATGAAGTTACAGGATGTGATGTGCACCGTCCCATCAGCTTCCAGACTACCTACAGYGACAGAACACAGAAGCAGGAATGAAAATGTGACTTAAATATGGAGTAAATAATATTTTACCATAAATTGTTTACCTGTGATAATATACTGTGTCCAATCAGTCTGCAAATAAGCTGTACACCCCAAGGGGGAGTAGACAGCATCAATTCCCCCAACAGGGCCTTTGAACACCTGAATCAAAAGACAAACGCGTACTAAGAAAAGCTCATCGGAGGAAAAAAATTGTTCGTTGTATTCCATACCTGGATGGCATGAACGCTATATTTGATGCTTTTCATTGCTCCACTGTCAACCTCCTTCTTTCCAATGACAAACGCCTGTATTACTACAAAAACATAAGCCTCTCATTAACAGAGAGATTTAGCACACAATCAGAGCATCCCCATTAAAAAAAGTTGACTAAACTTACCAGCTTCTGAGTTGCAGAGAGCCTCCAAGGGAGGCATCATAAAAGGACAAAAGCAGAGCTGTGCTGCTTCTGCTCCTGCCTCCACTTGCCAAAGAAACAGAATGGCCAGAGAGATGAAACAACTCTTCATTATCTGAGTCATGTTTGGAAACTCAAAGATGATGAAAATGATGACAGCTGTCAAAGACAAATGCAGAAAACCAGAAATCAGATTTAAAACGATCTCTTCTTTCAACAGAGCAGTGAGTTTTATACCCCTTTGCCGCTAACAGGCTCCGCCCCTTCTGAGGTGATCGGCCCTATGAAGGCCGATCTCCTGCATGTTTTAGATTTTTCTCTGATCATTGGATCAGAAAAATTAGTTTGTTGATTTCTCTGATCTAGCAACTCTCTCTATGTCTGACACATAAAGAGAAAATCAACTAGTTTTAGTTTCTGTTTACACCAGACCAGTCTCTGGAAATACTAATGTTTACTG